AATGTGACTACTCTAGATATGTGACAGTAGAATCGTACAATATTTGTCTTTTTATGGCTATTTTCAAGGTTTATTTATGTTGTGACATGATTCAGAGTTTCGTTCCTTTTAATAGTTAAGTAATATTCCACTATGTATATAATTTTTAATCCATTCACTATTGGATACCTGGGCTATGTATCAGTCCATTTTTCTGCTGCTGTAACAAAATACCTGAAGCTAGGTACTTATGAAGAAAAAAGGTTTATTTAGCTTACAGTTTTGGAGATTCAAGATCAACATGCCAACATTTTTTCTAGTGAGGGACTTCTGGCTATAACACAACATGGTAGAGAACAAGGATAACCAGCCATATGCAGAAAGGACCAAGCATGTGGAATAGCTTTGCTTTACAACAATCCACAAGAACTCACTCACTCCACAAGACCAATAAGAATCCCCTCTGAGGGCACAACCCTCCAATTACCTTGATCTAGCCCCTTACCTCATAAAGGTTCCAAAACCTCAACACAACCACTCAGTACCAAGTTTCTAGTACATAAACCTCTAGGGGGACAAACCACATTCAGACCATCACAAACTGTTTTCACCTCTTAGCTATTGTGAATAATGTCGCTATGGATATTAGCTCAGAAGTATCTGTTTGAATCTTTGTTTTCAAATCACTTGAATATATATGTAGAAATTGAATTGCATTCACATGGTAATTCTATGTTTAACTTTTTGAGGAACTGCCAAATAGTTTTCACAAGTGGCTACAACACATCATTTTCCCACCAGCAACGACAAGGGTTCCAATTTTTCCACATCTTTCCCAGTACGTATATTCTCTTCTTTGGATTATAGCCATCTGGGTAGATGTAAAGTGGTACACTGTGGTTTTGATTTGCATTTTCCTAATAATTAATAATAATAACCATTTTTTCATGAACTTATTTTCCATTTGCATATGTACTTTGAAGAAATGACTTTCCAAGTTCTTTGTCTATTTTTCGATTGTATCATCATATTCCTGTTTAGTTGTAGGGCTTCTTTATATATTCATATATATATATATATATATATATATAT